CTTTTCTTTTTCTTTCTGTTTTTCTTAGTAAAGTATACTGTTTATTTGTTATGGTACTGAGTTTATAAAAAATGTTTCTTATTAATAATGTGAGGGGACATTCCTAAATGTTGTCATTCATTTGCAGTATTATTGTTAAAGTATTTGCCTAAGTTTGTGGCATTGGAAAGGTGTGGGACAAAGTTGAAGTATATAATAATAATATTATTAATAACAAAACACAATCCTTTAGATTCTTGAAACATGTATATTAGGGTGTCCCTTAAAAATAAAATTTGGATTTTTATCACTCTCACCCTGCTAACCTATGCCATATATAAAAAAAAACATTCTATGCAAAAAAAAAATTTTCTGATAATATTAAGGGGTTGCTCTTTCGATATTAAGGTTTATGAATACGATAGCATTATATGTTTGGTATGCTCTCGCTTATGAAATGATATTTGACAAATTTTAAAAATTTGTCAAATATCATTTCAAAGGTTAATTGAATCAATTTTGTATTATCTTTAATTTTAATCTAATAGGTATCTTATAAAAGAGCCTTAAAATAGGCTAAATAAATAAAAAATTTAAAAAAATTAATAAAAAAAACAGTTTAAAAATTCCATTGTCCGGTTCGGCGATATATGACATTGACGCTATACTTCGAATTGTAATTATTTAATGTTTGGTGTTCACCATTGTCATCTTGTTAAACCAAATTCAATTTTTTCATAGTTGTCTTATTAGAGCAGTCTGGAAACTGACACCGATGATCGGTTACCACTTGAAGCAGAAACTAAAGCTGATTCTCGTCCGTGGCTAAGTGACGGTTAAAATCCTGGATAAGAGCCACACCTCGCTCAGCTCTATCCTTAAGCACTGCTGATCCTCTAACAGTTTCCAGTGCCTTCTTGTAAGCTGCATCACTTACCCACTCAGATGGATCTTTGGCAAGGAATGCCTCAGACAATCCAAGTATCAGAAATAATCTCCTTGAGTTGGCAGTACAAAAAAGCTCTAAGCCTTTGTTCCCATCAAAACAGAAAAGTCTGCTCTGGGATGTTTTGGAGGATTTTCAGGTGCAACTTTTTCTATGGCAGTAATAATAAGTTTCTTTGAATTGGAAGAGATTCTTGAGTCAAAGAGTGCTTATCCAACAAGCTCCTCTGAAAGGTACCACAAATATAGTCCAAGTTTCTTCTGGCTGCAGCTGAAATAGATGCATGAGGATATTCCAAAAGTTTTCTCGTGAGGTTAAAGTCGTTTAAATAAGCTTCAGTTGATATGGGTGCAGTTATCCATGCTGTCAGATAAATCAGAACAGAGAAAATTGCCAGATTGCGAGTACCTCTCTCTTCTTTAGTTGTCATTTAAACTGGCTCCAGAAGAGCCATATCTTGATGACATATATAATTTTTGCTATCCATTTGGAATTATGCATAGCTCCTGGAACCTGAAAATAGATACCTCGATATACCACCAAGAAATATAACTCCAAACATAAATAAAACCAACCACCAAGAAATAAAACTCCAAACAGAAATATAACACCAAGAAATATAACTCCAAAAAATTCTTGGTAATCGTTTCATGACTGCCTTTTTTCTAAGTTATTTATTGCAAATTGCAAGATAATCTGACAAGATGAGACAACCATGGCTTCTACTGAGGTATCTGTGGTGGCCAGCTGAAAAGTGGCCTGATCAACAAATTTTTCCTTTTTTGCCATTTTTCCTTAAACCGTTTGAAGAAAAAACTTCAGGGCCAGTGGGTTTTCAACTGCAACTTCAAATTCAGCACCAACAATTAATTCCACAATATGATGGCGACAAGCTAGATACAGCAAATCTTTACCCGGTTTCTATTCAATAAGTTTGCATGCACCTTTTAGAAGACCAGAGTTTGATGTAGTAGTGTTAAAGCACAGTACAGCAATTCAATCTACAACATTCCAGTCTTCCAAACAGTCTACAACAGCCTCAGCTTGGGCTTTACCAGTACCAGATGATAGTTTTGGAACCACTAGTAATTTCTCTACTCCTACACCAGAAACAAGAACAGAAAGTCGATTGATATGTTCTTTGGATGTCAAATCCTCAATGAGCTTGCCATCCCAATGAACTGTTAATGGAACTGATGCAGAGAACTCTGCTTTTAGCATGGCAGCCTTGCTTGATGGCTAGTCCCATCTCTATGAATAGAATTTTTGTTGATGTTTAGAGAACCAACATCATGACCAAGGCTGGCTGCTACTTCGCTAATAAGGTATGTTGTTTTCCTATATAAAGTATTGGTCCTATCCAATGTAGAAGCAAGTCCGGGTGATATGATGTTGATTTTAGCCTGTTTTGCAACTGGTGTTCCACCAACCACACCTACATCAGCACCAATATTATCAGACAAATTCTCATTTTCAGTATCATAATTTGCCATGGAAAATGATGATTCAAGCACCACCTGTTGAGATGAAATGATATTACTAAAATTACAATAATAGTTATAATTAATGATAATTGTATCAATTTTTTTATCACAACTGCATATGCATTGTACAATGTACATTTAACATTAATTTTATTATATTAAAATTATTAATATATTAAGGTCAACATTCAACAAACCATATCAAAATAGTATTGTATGTATTACTATGTAAACAGCAAAATATAATTATAATTTAATACAAACAAAATATATTTATAATTTAATTATTATCAATAAATTTAATAAACAATAGTCGATAATGATTATTGACTAGTGATTAAGTTAATTAAGTTATATGTTACCTGGCTGGAACTGGATTCCAATTCATCCTTTGATTTGTTTTGACGCATCAATTCTGCTTCATATCACTTTTGGACTTTTTTACTGCGAGCTGCATGAACCATATCAATCAAACCAATCGATCTAGGACGTCCTTACTTACGCTGAGGTATTAAAAAGGCCCTGTCTTCTGGATTTGTTATAAGAGTCAGTGTATCTGCATATGCGATATCAAATACATCTTATAGATGATCCACAAAGTCTGCTTCTTTTTTCTTGTGTCCTGGAGTTGGTTGATTTTTGTGTTTTTGAAGTGCTTGCCATTGAATGTGAATGCTTTCTAGTTTCTTAATTGCATGTTGTTCAGCACATATCTACAGCCCTGCCTTTACCCAGACAGCAGTAACCACTTGGATGGTGATCTGAGTTGCTTCTTGAATAGATTTTTTTTCAACCTTGTTAATGTGAAGAAAATTCAAAAAATATTTGTTGGTATGATGGTAATTTTGCACCAAGGATTTCCGTTTTGTAGGAATCAATTAGATAAACTTTTGCTTTTGTTCTAGTCACTATTATCAAATAGTTTTACAAGAAGCAGAACCTGTCTGAAAAAAAACATTTATGGAATTTAAATAAGTAAGCAAATATTGTTGAAAAATTTAATACTAAATTCAACATTGAATATAAGCCTACAGCAATTGAAATGTAGCCTATTTCTTAAACTAGTTTTATGAACGCCGGCGAACCTAATTTTTGAGCTTTTTCAAACTGAAAAACTCAAAGGGCAACCTCTAAATTTTATCTAATTGTAAAAATCTTTTGCACAGATTTTTTTTAATACAATGGCACAGATTGACAAGGTGAGACATGCAAATTCAACAAGTTTTAATTTTTTGCATTGCGGTAAGGGACACCATAATATGTACATATATATATATATATATATATATATATATATATATATATATATATATATATATATATATATATATATATATATATATATATATATATATATATATATATATATATATATATATATATATATATATATATATATATATATATATATATATATATATATATATACAAAGATATATATATACAAAGATATATATATATATATACACACACAAATATATATATGTATATATATATATATATATATATATATATATATATATATATATATATATATATATATATATATATATATATATATATATATATATATATATAAATTAGTAGAAAATCACTTAGCAAAATTTTTTCTCATTTAACACAGTGTTTCATCAATAAAGGCTCATCAGAAATCTTTATTGATGAAACACAGTGTTAAATGAGAAAAAATTTTGCTAAGTGATTTTCTACTAATTTGTAATTGCTCTGTTCTTTTAAGAACACTGAGCACTCTTTTTGTAGAATACATTTTAAATTGTTTAAATATATATATATATATATATATATATATATATATATATATATATATATATATATATATATATATATATATATATATATATATATATATTAGAGTGCCACTAAAAACAACTTTTTTATAAATTGTCTGCTGCCATCCCCTAAATGTGTTCTATGTAATAAATTAACACTAAATAAAAAAAAATTTAGGGGTTGCTCAAAACCCTTAAACATCAAACGAGTCCATAATATTTTGAAAAAAAAAGTTCTTTAAAAGTATATCATGTTGGGTCTCAAAAGGAGTGAAATTTTCAAAAATAATAATCATTTTATATAAATATTACTAGTTTAAATTTTATAGCCTAAAAACTATAATTTTTTGACCAAAAATTTTAGTTAAAAATTATTATTATTTTTGAAAATTTCATAAAATTTCACTTCTTTTGAGACCCAACATGATATACTTTTAAATAACTTTTTTTTTTCAAAATATTAGGGATCCGTTTGATGTTTGAGGGTGTTGACCAACCCCTAAAATATTTTTTTATTCAAAAATTTTTTTAATTTAGTGTTAATTTATTACATAGAACACATTTAGGGGGTGGCAGCAGACAATTTCAAAAAAAGTTGTTTTTAGTGGCAATCAACCTCATCCCACCAAAGATATGCAAATAATAGTTCATTTTGTGCTTTTTAGGTAAAAGTTTATCAAACTATAGTACAGGATACTGTAGTTTGATGAACTTTTACCTAAAAAGCACAAAATGAACTATTATTTGCATATCTTTTCAAAAAAGTTCACTCCGCCATTGAAAAATCCATTTTGACATAAGTACTATTATGTATTCAAATGTATTTAGAATGTTATAGTCATGTAATAGAATAAATTTTCAATCCAACAATGACTCAGACCGTTGACCTTGCTCTTGTTTATTGCACAGAAGGTATCGAAGGTACAATTTGTCTTTATTTTTGCATGATGAATAAATTTCCTCCATTACTTTGATTGTGTGTTCTGCGCATTGATTACTTCTGGATATCTGTAGTATGAATGGCTCTTGCTTCCAGTGATTTTTCAAAGAGCTTAAAGCTTTTTTGTATGGATTCAGTATTTCAGCCAAGTTGTTAAAGTCATTTTCGTTGTACAGTTGGTCTGTAAACCAACGGTCTGCCCAGCCATACAATATAAATTGACTCTCTGTGAACTGTCCTTGTTGAAGTAATTAAAATGAAGGCCAGGATCGCTAGTATAGCTCTGGAGTTCTACCTCGCATTGCTGATGTTTGGTATTTTCTGAAACCTGATCAATTGAGAATGTCCCTTTTCCTCAAAAAATTGGAACACTCGGGTTAGATGAAACAAAAGTTTCATATCATTTCTCCAGTCTGATGTTTCCAGAATTACTTCTGTTCTGTTATCAAACTGTGTTTTCAGTTGTTCGTACTCTTTCAACAGTTGAGATACAAATGGATATTCGATGTTTAGCAATTGTGTTTTACTTCCAAGCTCTTCATCCATCACCAAACGGAGAATTGACAAATGATAAACTGAGGTTTGTTGATGCGTTTCTCTGTGAACATCTGTTGCAATATTACAACAACACCATTTTTTTTTTCCAGTGTTAATGCTGGTGGTATCTGCAGCAATCATCTGTATTGAATTCCATTGGTGAAATTCATCAAGGACTTTAGAAATTCCTTGAGCAATAGTTAAAGCTCTGCCATATACCAAGCCTAGGCATCCAATTTGATTTCCCTTCTTTAATTTTTAAGGATTTAGAAAGTTTATTATAAAGTTTTTGTCTTTTAGAGGGATTGATCGTTTTTATCCCACTGTTCCTTTGCTTTCCACTTGGAGATGGTACAATCGCATGTCCTCGTAAGATATTCCATTCACTTTAGTAATATCAAAAGTTTCATCAAGGGGTTTGGAGCTTCCCCACTTGACACATTCAGCATAGCATTTCAGTATTTTAACAAGCTTTGCTTGTATAACTTGATCAGATACATGAGAAAAATTCAGTTTATTCTTCCACAATTTGGTGACTTTAAAAATTTCCACTGTTTGCTCCTTTTTTGATTGCTCCTTTTTTGATTTTTGGTCCAAGGAAATGGTAGCATCTGATAGTTTGTTTTTTAAGAGTCATTCTGCACTTTTCTTCCAGTGAATATTCTTCCAAAGGGACCATTCTTCCTCTTTTATGAAAGTCTTCAAATTTACCAGATTATTGGTTCAGACATCTTTGTTCTTCCGATTCTATTATCTCTAGGCTTGTACAACGCCATGTGTTGCTTCTGTAATAACTATAAAGTTAGATGAGCAGCTATATATAGTCTAGAATGTTGTAGAATATTCCAGAATGTTCTAAATTGTTCTAGAATCTTCCAAAATATTTTAAATTGTTTTAGAATGTACTATATTGTTCCAGAATGTTTTAAATTGTTTTAGAATGTTCTAAAGTCTACTAAAATATTCTGTTATTTTCCAAAATGTTCTAAAGTTCTAAACACTTCTAATCTACAAGTTTTAATTGATTTGCAGAAAAGCCACACATATTAGTAGTAGCAGTAACAAGATCAAATAAATGACGAAATGTTATTTGAATTGCGGGATGACCTTTTTTTACAACCGAGAGGAATTGAACATGTTTTCAATGTTTTCTAATAAAAGTTCATCGATTTATGACAAAGGAAATTAATTTTTTGAAGTCAAAAAGTCATAACCCATATATATATATATATATATATATATATATATATATATATATATATATATATATATATATATATATATATATATATATTTATTAGGGGCTATTCTAGACCATTATTGACAGCGTCAACTGTATTTGGGCGCCAACCAAATTTAAAATTAAGTACCTTTTTTTTTTCTACATTTTTACGGCAATTATTGTTTTTTTTTTTGCAAAAAAAAGGCAAATATTTCTGCTAATTTTTCCAGGACAGGGGGTATTGCCGCCCAAGTTTTTTTCCTAGAATAGCCCCTGTATATATATATATATATATATATATATATATATATATATATATATATATATATATATATATATATATATATATATATATATTAATAGCATATATATATATATATGTATATACAAATCTATATATTCAGTTAGCATGACAGTTAAGGATTTAGTTAGGATTTGGTTACAATGTTGTGACATCATTTAAAAATATCTCCTCATGTTGAGTTTTTTATTTAATTATAAAAAGTATTTTTAAAGTATATTTTAGAATGAATACATGACAAATATAAATAAATATAAGAAGAATGATAAGAACACCTTACAAGATGTCAAATAACATAGTAATATCAAATTCTAGAAACTGGGAAGATCTTCGCAAACAAGCAAGACAAATCGAAAATGAACTAGATATGAAATTAGTATCTTTTAGCAAACTGGGAACTGGGCAATTAAAGGAATTTCAGCGATCTGAGGAAAAAGAATCTTTATTAGGTTCTAATAGTAATAGAATGTTTGATACAATGTCACTTGAAATCGAAAGATTATTATTACAGCTTACAGAAATTAATGATGATATGAGCAGTTATCTATCAAATATGTCAATTGGTGAAACAAATGGTGCTCAGCTGCATACAATGCAAAGACATCGAGACATTTTGCAAGATTATTCTCATGAATTTATTAAAACAAAAGCTAATATTAAAGCTAGTAAAGATAGAGAAGATTTACTTGGCTCTGTTAAAAAAGATATTTCTGAATATAAGAGTGGTTTGAGTAGGCGAACTGATTTGTATTTGAAAGAAAATGATCATATAAGAAATTCTGACAGGTTAGCTGATGAAGCAATTGATATTGCCATGTCCACTAAGGAAAACCTTGCTTCTCAAAGAAAAATGTTTCACTCAATGTCAAATCGCATTCTCAGCTTGGGAAATCGTTTTCCACAAATTAATAGCTTGTTTCAGAAAATAAACATGCGTAAAAAAAGAGATACCATTATTATTGCTATTGTTTTTTCTGTTTGTCTGATTATTCTATTGCTGTATTCCTTTCGTTAAATTTGGCATATATGGTGAATTTATTTTATATTTTGGATTTTTAATGTATTGCTCCTTAACTTGTTTAACCAATCTGCTAACATTCAATCAACTTCAACAAAATAAATATTCTCTTTTATTTATTTTCTTACATTTTCTTTAATTTTACCTTATTAAAACAAATAGTTTCGAAATAAAAAGTTTTATATGATTAGTTTTGCTACTGTTTTTTAAAAATTTGTGTCAAGATTGGATCTCACACTACACGATGATGCTGCTGCGTTTTTTATTGGATAAAAGTTACCAGAACATTTAAACTATTAACAAATTCTGGAATATTTATCAACAAAGAATTGTGGGATCTTAATAAAAATAAAGTTTTTATTTAAACAGTTTGCATAATGTGTTATGTAAAGAGTAAACAGTTTGATGACATGTCTTGCAAATAAGAGCTATTAATCATTTGACATTTGTTATTCTATAATGTTTTATATTTTTTTGTGTTTTCTGATGAAAGCAAAAAATTTTAACTACGAATAAAATAATTTTTTTTTAGTTATTTAATTGTTATCATAATTATTAAAATTTTATCATTGATTTTTATCAAAAAAAAAACATGGTTAAAAAACAAAAGAAAAATAAATCACCAAGAAAGAAAAAAGAAAAAGTGTAGGTTTTAAAGTTCTTTAAGTTAAACAACTATATAAAATAGCAAATATAGATGAGATCACTCTTTTCTCCTTTTCTGTTAATAAGAATTTTTTCTGCCTAATTTTTTAGCTTTTTTTTTTTTTTTTTCTATATGTATTTTTGTTACCTTTTTTTTAAACATTTTAGCATTTATTATATGTCCTTGCAAACAATTTGAGTGAATTCAACAAAATTTAAAAAAATAATAAAAGTTCTTTATATTCTTTTTCTTTCTATAAATTCTCTTTATAAATTCTGATTTTTAAAGTTAATGGTTATAACACCAATAACAAGTTTTAATAATATTTACCTTTTCAAAAAAAAAATCAAAAAGTTAAAAATAAATATATACCATTTGTTTATTATTATTTTTTAATATAATTTTTTGAAACAATAATAAAAAACAAAGTATATAAAATATCTAGAATTGTTTTAACCCTTTCGTGACGTCAAGAAATTTATAAACAAAAAAAAGATGAAACAAAATTGAAAGTCTGCTCAAAAGTTATTTAGCTTTTTGTATTGACAAAAACAGGAACTTCCCAAAATAAAAAGTAGTTAATGAATTTGATTTTCAATTTCATTATCAGATTCCATATAAATGTCACTAGATAATTTTAAATAAATTTTCTCTTCAGTCTTGAATTCTATATTTAAGTCTCTGTTTGCTTGCTCCTCAGATGCAAAAACATCACTGAAAAAGCTTTAATTTTTAGGGTCTTTTTAATGTAAAAACTAACATTTGAATTGGTAAATCATCAGATTAGGGCAGCAGTTATTGATTATGCATTCTAAAAATTCTTTCAAATTCACAAAAGACTCCAAGAATAATATCTCCACCACTATCATCAAAAAGTATATCACGTATCTCAGTTATATAAATATAATTTATTCTATTTTTAGCCATTTTTCAAAGTTGATTTTTGTGTGATCTATAATTGCTATTAACAAATGGTTTAAAGCGTCAACTTAAGAAATTATTAAGAAACATATTTAAAGTTTTCTCTAATCGCTGTAGATGTTCTGCAATATTCAAAGTTGGTGCTGAAGCGCTAAGCGGTTTACTAATCATTTAAGAACAGGTTTTATGAACTGCAGTGCCAGTTACACGAAAGGGTTAAGTTACAAACTGTTTTGAAAAAAAATTCTAAAAAGCATTATTTAAATTTATGACCTATTTTTTTATTGATCTTGTAAATTGATTAATTAAAAATTTTTAATTAGTTAAAAAATTGTTAATTGAAAAAGCCTTTTAGCTTCACTAATATTGATCCAAAGTATAAAATTAAAGATTTTAATATTTAAATAGTAATAGGAAATTTATATTTGCAGAAAAAGTGCATCAAAACAATTTGTTGATCAAGAGCATGAGTTGAAACTTGCTAATGTTAAAACACATATTTTGGAAAGTCAGTTATTGGCAGCTGAGGCTTCAAAATGTAATTACAGGTAGAATTTTTGTTTAAAAAAGTGTATGAGTAGTTTGAAAGAAAGATTCAAAAACTTGAGCTCAAACCTACTAAGTAAATGGTGCCTGTTTGCCTAATACTTAAGCTCTTACTAAACCTTTTTAGAGGTTGCGTCTAAACTCTACTGAATGTTGAATCAGTTAGATCTAAAATTTTAAGTTTAACATATTGAGTTGTAGATGGTTTTAAAGTAAAACTTAAAAGTATCCTCAAGTGTCAAAACAAGTGTTTGTATTAAAAAGAATGTTTTAAAAAAATATTTGTGCTGAATTGTTTTGATTAAAAAGATAATAATAAACATATACCAAGAACAACTAGCTTTCTAGTTTTAGAAAAATTTATATTTTTCTCTTAAAAAATTTAACTCTTTAAATTATGCTCTTTTTTTTTGACACTATCTGTAGATTTTATAATTTCATTTATTTGTGTAATTTTATATATATATATTTTTTTTATATATATATATATATATATATACAACCCTCGGAATTAGGAAAAATGGTCGGCAAATTATTTGCCGACCTCAAGCATTTTCAGGTTGGCAGTTAGGTCGGCATTGCCGAATGCTGACCCTTATGCCGAGGGTTATATATATATATATATATATATATATATATATATATATATATATATATATATATATATATATATATATATATATATATATATATATATATATGTATATATATATATACTAGTGATCAAAAATTTAGACTCAGAAAAAAAAATTTTTAAGCTTAGCTCTTCAAATGCTAAAAAAAATTTATTAAGATATTGTTTGAAATTTTTTTTTAAATTTAACTTAGTTTGTTTTCCAACATAGTTCCAAAAATTACACACTTATTATATATATTGGTATTTATTTTTTATTTTTTAATAATAGCGCTATTTAAAGACAAATAAAATGTGTCTCATAAATTTAGACTCACTTTTTTCTATCTTTATTTCCATATAAGTGCCCAACCTTTTTTTTCAAAGATTGTAATTCTAACATGGATCAAAATATATTTTCTAAAATATTGTTATGTTTAAATCCTTTTAAAAATTAAATTATTTACTTACTTAGTGCACGCTAATCAAAATATACAATTTTTACTCATTATTTGCATTTAAAATATTTAGAAAGTGGGTAAAACATCAGTAACATTTTTTTGTAATACTTCAGTACTTGTTACCAAAAAATATTTAAGCACATTTCTTGTAACAAAGTTGTAGATTTAACAAAATACTTACAATAAAATTAAGTCATAGAACCGCGTCATACAAACAATGCCATTGCTTTTCAATGTCAATGCGAATGTCGAATGAGTAAAATATTACTATTTGCAGCTGTAGAAAAAAAAAGGTTGTCAATTCTATTCTTAAATGCATAAACTGATGAAGCCATTTTGCATGTAATGGCATGTTCATTTTTTATTGCTGTTTTGCATCCCCATTATCAATATCAAATGACATCATTAAGTATAAAAAAGAATTACAGTATTTGTGTATATGTAAAAAATTAAGTTACATTAAAAATGTATTTTTATCAATAGTTACCATAGTCACTTTTTTATTTTAATGAGTAATTATCATAAATTGCAAAAGGGTTATGTAAAATAACTGATAATAGAAATTAGAAATATAATAAAAAAATAAGGTTAACAAGGAACAGTACTATGTCAATTGTATATGATTTTTAACTGTTTATAAAGTGAGTTTATAAACAGTTAAAATTGCATTATGGATACTTCCTTAACTTTGAAAACTCTGTCTATAAAGGGAGATTTCAGATAATAGTGAAATTTTTGTGATGCAGTTTAAACTTGATATCTCTTTTAAAAAAATCTTTAAGATAAATTTGAAGTCTTATCTTTATCATCATTATTATTGTCGTCATCAATATCGACATCATCATCATCATCATTTTCACCATCATCATCGCCATCATCATCATCATTTTTCAAAATCTAGTTAAACTATTTTATTTTCATGTAGATAATGAAGTTATTACTTATTTTAGTGAGAAAAATTACTATTATCTTTTATCTATTTAAAATTTTTAATTTTATTATATATTTAAACTGTTATCATTTTTAAAAGAGAGAACACACAAATTCTTCTTCATGAAAATGAAAACTTACATCAAAGTGTTAAAGAAACAGAACAAGATGCTATGGCTTATATAACTTTTCTCAAGAACGAAGTTGCACAAAAGGACATGCAGGTGGTTCATATTTATAATTAAAAAAAAAACTGTTTATGGAATAAAATAATCTAGAGTTTTTTTGTTTGTTTATTTAGTATGTTTTTATTTAAAAAATTTTAAAAATTATAATCTACTAAAATAAAAAAAAATTGAATTAATAATACTGTTTTTAAAATGATTTAAATAAAAATTGATTTTTATATTTAGATATATATTTAGATAAAAGATTATTACATAATGCATAATTTTGACAATTCATTCGTTTTTGGTTAAAGTTGTTTAAGTAGAAAGGTCGCTCTTCTTTACCTTTTTATAAAAAGTTTAAAATGAATCTGCCAAAATGATAACAATGAGTACCTAAGATTTGCAAGCCTACTTTAATAAACTATATAAACTTGAAATGTGTTTTTTTTTTTTAATTTTATATTGAGAATATTTTATTTATAAATTTTCCATTATGTTATTTTATATTTTATTTTATTTTATATCTTATGTTACAAATATGTCATTTAATTATTTAGATTCACAAGTTATTGAATGAAGTCGAAGAACTAAAAACAAGTAATCTAAAAGAAAAGCATGATTTAGTGAGAACATTTCTATTGATTCTTTACTACACCTATTATATTATTTATGAAAAATAACTACAAATAAAAATTTATAATCATAATTAAATTAAATTTCAGGTTAAACTGGTGCTTGTTTTGAATTTCCCACTTAGTTGAAGCAGTTTTTATTAACAAACTCATGCAAATATTTATCAGTTATTTGATCCTACAATTTATTTTTTTATTTAAGGAGATTTTTTATTTCTGTTAATAAGAAACTCATTCCTGTAGTTAATTAAATTTTTTCAAAGAATGTTATCAGAGGTTGTTAAATAAATTTTTTCATAGGTTTTAAATAGGTTTCAAGAATTTTATCATAGGTTTACTCAAAAGACAAAACAATTTTTGACAATAGCAGTGAAATCAGACAAAAAGCATAAATATTTTTTTTATTTTACAAAAGTTTGATTTCAATTTAAAATAGGTTTTCATATATAATATCAAATTTAAATAAAATATTTAGATTTAGATTTATAAAATAGTTAGTAAACTCTTATTCTATGTAGAGGTTTGAATAACCAAGAATTTGTATATAATGTTAGTTAGTGACAAAAGACATATTTTGTTTCAGTCATCTGAAAGTACATTAGAAATAGAAAGAATTCAAAAGTTGTTGACGCAAAAAGAAAACGAGGTAACAAAATTTTTATCTTATGTTTTTAAAATAATATTATACATATTGCAGTTTCTCTGCAATATTATACATATTGCAGTTTCTCTGCAATTATATTATACATATTGCAGTTTCTCTGCAATAATATTATACATATTGCAGTTTCTCTGCAATAATATTATACATATTGCTGTTTCTCTGCAATATGTTTAATAAAATGTGTAATAAAATGAGAACTATTCAATTTTAAATCACAGTTGTTATATTTTCATTTAAATAAAAATTGTGACAAATATATTTATTTAAAATTGGTTTTATTCAAAATGAAATCACAACCTTTTAAAATGTTTATCTAAACAAGGTATTTATTTAGAAGTTCTTTTTTTGGAAGGATTTTTAACTGTATTATAAAAATATTTAAATTTATAGACAAATTTTAATTTTACAATTTGCATTTTGTCTGAACACAAATATAAGTTTTTCTTTGGTTAGGGATACCAAGTTAAATCTTAGGTTCAACCATGGATGTCTGCCAAATAAAATTAAATATACATGTTTAATATGAATCTTAAATTTGCATGTATATATATTTTTAAGTCCAACACCTATAGTTTCATAAAGAGATGCCCTTAATGGTGATTTGCAGATAAGGACTAAGTTTTTTATTTCTCGTCAATAGTTGTTTAAGGGAACAGCTCGCATGCATCACCGTGTTTGTTTTAGGAGAGCTCGCATGCATCACCGTGTTTGTTTTAGGAGATATATATATATATATATATATATATATATATATATATATATATATATATATATATATACATATATATATATATATATATATATATATATATATATATATATATATATATATATATATATATATATACATACATATATATATATACATATATATATAGTTTTTGTGCAAACTCTGCTAGAAACTATATTATCTCTCGCATTCAAATCGATTTTTTTGTAAATAAAAGCAAAATTAAACGCTAAAATATTTGTAAGAGTTACTAATTCACTTACTTTAAGATATTTCAAAAGTAGTGAAGTATAACTAATTGCCAAAATATTTTTAAGTTTTTTATAATTAAAATACTTTATGATATTTTAAAAGTTTTAAATGAAATAATAGAATTAGTTATAAAGGCTGTGGGAAAAAAATGACTTTAAAATACTCCTAAACCAGTAATAAATCTCATTAAAAAAATATCGTCAGCGCAGAACTATTGAAAGTAAACCTTGTTCTAAAAGACCTAAAGTTACAGTTTAAAAACCTTATAGATTATTATCGAGATAGTCCAAGAATAATCTTCGCAAAAATGCTGTCAAACTTAGTTCAGTTATGCATCAGTTGCATGATACAAACTGTAGCTTTAATATAAAACTAAACATTGTTACTAACAAAATAATTTGTATGGCCACCATCCAGTTAAGAAACCTCTGATATCTGCAAGAAATTGAAAAGACAGAATAAAATTTTTAAAAGATCAACTTAGTTGAAAAGTTAGTGACTGGTTAAAAGTCTATGATGAAATAAGGTTTACGCTAATCAGTAATGGCGGAATTATGTCAGATGTCCAATAGTTATGGTTTGTGCTTTATTCATGACAATGTTATTCCTATTCATCAAATAGAAAGTATTATGGACCAGATAGTTTATTTAGACATCATGAAAAATGTTATGCTGCCACAATCAAAATATAAAAAGACTTGTAAATGGATCTTGAACAAAGTGATCTAGAGCAATGTTTCAGATCTTAAGGAAGATTTTTAATTAAAAAATAAAAATAAAAGATCTTTTCAAAACCCAAATCTCAATCCTATTAAGTATCTTTGGGAGTTCATCGACCAGTATTTAGTTGGTAGAAAGTCAACCAACAAAGACCATTTACTTGCTTTGATTTAAAAATGTTTCTCAGGATGTTCTCATTTTAATTATTTAATGCTTTGTCGCTTGAAATGCTGCTTTAAAGGTAAATGGATATGTCACTAAATAGCATCTGTATTATTGAAACTATTTTATTAAAAAGTTGAAATTTGTAAGTTTTAGTAAATAAATTTAAATCTTTTGAAATAAATATTATTTGAATTTCAGAGAACTTTCCGAAAAAACAACTAAATTGTTGAAGTATAAGTTAAGTTTGATAAAAAAAAAGACAGTATAAACTATTTTTTAAATATATTTTTATTTAACAATATATTAACGATATTTTATTGACCTTTTTCGGTCAGCATCATCAGGTAATGAAAAAAAAAAAAATGGTACAAAAAAAATTAAATAAAACAAATCATTTAAAAAAGAAGACATTAAAAAAGAAGTGTTGGAGTTATGGTGTACTTGAAAGTCGTATAATCCCATCATTGTATTTGTAATACAAATATCTAAAAAACTAAGTTATTTCCTTTTGTTTTCTAGTTTAACAGTATATTTTATTTTAATAGTACTCCATAGTTGAATTTATCTAACACTTCAACTATTCCACTATAAATACTAATAGCTTTCCCATCATCTAGTTTTAAAATGGCTAGTTTCACTTTCTTTTCTGCATTTTTTTAAACCAAGACTTGATATCTTTCTCTGACATTCTTTTACTGTTAAAATACAACACCCAATTCCCATTTTTTAAATTACTTATCATGTGCTTTTCCATTTTTTTAGCTGCTGACATTGTAGCTCTATAAACCCCAGATTTAGATGGGGCTTGTACATTGACACCACATTCAGATAAATTTTTGCAAACTTCTGCTGGTTTCTTAATACTTATTATCTAAGTTAACAGCCACAGTGGTGTTCTCATATTTTCTCTTAACTTTTTTGTCTGGAGGAATATAATTAGAATCTTGTTCATCATTTTGTTGATTTCCTTCTTCATTGTTGTCACTGACTTCTACTGTTTCTGTTTCAGGTATGCTAGGTCTCTTCCAGCTAGCCTTAGATGGATGTACTTTAGCGGTTTTTGATGTACAATAACCAACTTCACCATTAGTATCCACTAGTAAGAAATAAAATGCTTTGTCTTCGTTGCTAAGCCAGTTACCATTTACTTTAGTTATATCAAATAAATAATTCCACTTTTCTTCAAGACATTGTTTAGTTTTTTGAACTGAATAATATTTTTTAATAAGAATTTCCACTTTTTTTTGTTATAGACCTTTCATTTATTTTTGGTAAACTAAGCTTGAGCCATAAATCAGATAATTCTGCGCCAACTCTTTTACATTTTGAATAAACTGACTTCTCTAAATTTGATAAGCAAATAAACCAACCAATAACATAATAAGCTTTTGGCATTTTATTCAAATTATCAAGTTGCTCTAAAACTTTGGGTATGTGAGATCTTGTTGATTTCTCAAAGTGGACTAGATTTTGAGACCAGGCTTTGATATTTTGAGGTTTTTCAGCTATCTGCGAGCTTATTCTTGTCATTACTAAAATATAAAGTATACGTTAATTATAATTGTAAGTTACATACGAAGATTAAAATTAAATTTATTTTACATTTTAAACGCACATAAATAGCTTATTTTAGTTATATTAATTGTAGATTTTAGTAAACACAAAATAATCACCTTGATTTGAACACGCTTATTTTGATAGCAAACAATTAAAGATGACACTTGCAGAAGTATTTAGTATTTGATGAATTTAAACTATTTATGCATAAATAATATATATATATATATATATATATATATATATATATATATATATATATATATATATATATATATATATATATATATATATATATATATATATATATCGTATCATGCAAAACAATAAAAAATGTAAAAAAGTTTAGCTTTTTAGCTTGTTTAAAAAAAAAAAAAGTTTCTACGGGATGTTTTTGCAACCAAAGATCTAAAAGCATATATTTCTATAAACAAATTTAATAATGTCAGCTTTTAGAAATATACCCATTTATTTTTAAGTGAAAAAATTGAAAAGTCAACCCCCTAATATTCACACAGCAAAATTAAATTGATTTATATTATATATACATATATATATATATATATATATATATATATATATATATATATATATATATATATATATATATTTTTTTTTTTTTTTTTTTTTTTTGTATGTTTTGTATAATGTTTTTTGTATAATAATGTACAAAAAAAACTCTTATTCGTTTAGAAGTGATCAATATTATAAAAACAAAGATTTTTATAATAGATCTAATATAATTATTTAGTATTAAAATGAAAAAAATACAACTTTTTGTTGGTACTCAGAATTTCAAGCCTGGCGACAATCATCAGCCATATATATTTTTTTAAATCAAGAAATTAAAAAACATAAATATAAAACAAAATATAAAAGATAAACACCTTTATAAATTCCTGATCTTTGATATCAATGATTTCTACCCTTCAATTAGTGAAAAACTCTTTAACGATTCTATCAGTTTTGCGGAAAAACATGTCACTATAAGCATAGAACAAAAGTCAATTATTATTTATGCAAGGAAATCTTTACTGTTTAATAATGGCCAGGTTTGGATGAAAAAGTCAGGTGGTTTGTTTGATGTTACCATGGGTGGGTTTGATGGTGTGGAGATATGTGAGTTTGTTGGGGTATTCATTCTTCTTCAAATTTCACATTTTTATAGTAAATATGACTTTGGCTTATACCGCGATGACGGATTAGCAGTTTTTAAAAATGCTACTGGTCAGCAAATGGAGAAAATTAAAAAGCATATCACTCACTTATTCAAATGTAACAATCTCAAAATATCTATACAGTGCAACCTCAAAATTGTGAATTACCTCGACGTAACTCTTAACCTCTGCGACCAGTCATACCAACCATACTGCAAACCTGATAATACTTTAAACTACATACATGCTCAATCTAACCACCCTCCTAATATACTAAAACAACTACCGCAAAATTTTGAACTCAGATTGTCCGGAAATTCTAGCAGCGAAGAGGTGTTTAAAAAATCTATACCTATTTATAATGAAGCGCTACGAAACTCTGGTTATAAACATAATTTATCTTACCAACCTAACTTGAAACAACAACAAAAGAAAAACCGTACACGTAAAATAATCTGGCAAACCCACCCTATAGCATAAATGTCACCACAAATATAGGAAAAAGCTTTTTAAACTTGATTGTCAAACATTTGCTAATTAACAACAGACTACACAAAATTTTCAACAAAAACACAGTAAAAATCAGCTACAGTTGCATGCCAAACGTAAAATCAATATTAAATTTACACAACAAGCACATCCTAAACAAAAATCTAACCATTAATAAAGATAACTGCAACTGCCTTAATAAAAACAATTGTCCTTTACACAATAACTGCTTGACCAACAACATTGTATACCAAGCAACCATCACTTCAGATAACCTTTCAATAAAAAAATCATACATTGGTATTTGTGAAACATCTTTCAAACTGAGATATGCTAACCATTTGAAATCGTTTAATATCCCCAAGTATAGAAACAATACAAAGCTGTCAAAGGAGGTTTGGAACTTAAAAGATAATTATAAAAATCCTGTGATCAATTGGAAAATAATTAGATGATGTGAAGCATATAACCTGACAACAAAATCGTACAAATTATGCCTTAATGAAAAATATGAAATTATTTCAAATAATGACAATAGTTTATTAAATAAAAAGACTGAAATTATATCAAAATGTCGGCATAGAAATAAATTCCTCCTTTGTCAATTCGACACAGGCTAAAGGTAGACTTCGTGTAGTTGATGTTTTGACGTCAGATCCCATTGCATTGCTTAATTTGTATTTTAAACTTTTAATTTAAAATACAAATTAACCAATAATACAAATACAAAGGTTTTTTAATTTCTTGATTTAAAAAAATATATATGGCTGATGATTGCCACCAGGCATGAAATTCTGAGTACCAACAAAAAGTTGTATTTTTTTCATTACTAAATAATTATATATATATATATATATATATATATATATATATATATATATACACACACACACACACACACACACACACACACACACACACACACACACACACACACACACACACACACACACACACACACACACACACACACACACACACACACACATATATATATAAATGTTTTTTATACAGTTATTTATTTATTCTATAAGAGAAAAGTTATTTTTCTTTAGATAAAATTAATGAAAACTGAATTGAGGTTGGTAAAAGAATTTCAGATTCAAAGAGTATTTTTGGAGGCAGAATTACATGATGTATGTGAAATTTAAGTTTATTTTAAACATTACGATAAGTTTATGATGTGACATTTTTTATTGTTTAACAGGTAGTATAAAAATAATTGATTCAATGGAAAATAATTTTTTATGTTTCAAATTTTGATATTACTGTTTTACTAATTTGATTACTTATTGTGTTGCAATCAAAATGAAAATTTTAATTTTGATTTATGTTATATGATCATAGCTGTTGTTTTATTTTATAAAAAAGTTGTTTAAACAGAATATAAAAAAGTTATTTAAACAGAATAACAACTAATTAAACAGAATAGCAACTAATTAACAGAATAGCAACTGATTAACAGAATAGCAACTAATTAACAGAATAACAACTAAATAACAGAATAACAACTAGTTAAATGGAATAGCAACTAATTAACCATATAGCAACTAATTAACACAATAGCAACTAATTAATAGAATAGCAACTAATTAACATAATAACGTCTAATTAAACAGAATAACAACTAATTAACAGAATAGCAACTAATTAACAGAATAGCAACTAATTAACAGAATAGCAACTAATTAAACAGAATAGCAACTAATTAAACAGAATAGCAACTAATTAAACAGAATAGCAACTAATTAAACAGAATAGCAACTAATTATCAGAATAGCAATTAATTAAACAGAGTACCAACTAATTAAACGGAATACCAACTAATGATTTTTATCAAGACTTAAATGTATCAGCAAATAAAGTTATTGAGGAAGTGAGATTTTTAGGTTATTAATGTAGTGAAGAAGCAGAATAACAACTTATGCAGACACTTGTTAGTTAAAAAGAATAATATAATTGTTAGCAGAAAAGTTAGAAAGAATAATATAATTATTAGCAGAAAAGTTAGAAAGAATAATATGATTGTTAGAAGAATCAAATCTCTAAAGTTTTTAAAAATAAAATTTACAAATTTAATTTTTAATTAGGCAGGATCTGCGATAAAATACCTGTTTTGATATTTAAAAAGGCATAGAAAATTAACTTCTATTTGTGGGACATTAAAAAAGGGATTTTGTGGGACATTTAAAAGGGAGTGTTAGTAATGTTTTAAGGAAATTAAAAATTCATAAAAGGTTACCTTCATTTTGTAGTCTTTTGTGGGTTGTTAAACAATTTATTTATTTTTTGCATTAATTTCATACATTTAAAAAAAGCCATTTATTTTCAAAAAAGATTTTTTTTTTTTATATGAAATATTTAGCCCCTGCCTTAAAAGGTGAAGATTTAAACTTTTTCTTTTGCAAGACGTTATTTTAAAAAAATATCTCTATAGTAATTTATAGTTAAAAGTTTTATACATTTAGTATATGTACTTTTTTTATATCATTTTAAATAAAATTTATTTTATCATTTTCAGATAAAGGAGAAGTACCTGTCAAGTGAAAAGAAGTGGGAGCTTAAGTTAAGCAGAATGAAAGAAAAGTTTTTTGAAGAAAAGGTTTATGTATTTTCAATAAACAATTAATTAATGGCAAGTTGTTAACAAATAATGTTAAGTCATTTAATTTTTTTTGTGTGGAATTTCATAAATTATCTACATCATAAATTAAGTACATATTTTACAAAATATCTTAAACAATTTTACATATATGTAAAATTGTTTAAGAAAGATGTTGAGATTCTTTAGTCTTTTGTAATGTTTGAAACAAAGTTTTAAAAACAATGTTGGATTTTTTAGTCGTTTGTAATGTTTGAAACAAAGTTTTAAAAACAATGTTGAGGTTCTTTAGTCTTTCAAAATGTTTGAAATGAAATTTTAAAAACAATGTTGGGGTTCTTTTGTCTTTGTAATGTTTGAAATGAAGTTTTAAAAACAATGTTGAGATTCTTTAGTCTATTTAGTAATGTTTGAAATTTTAAACATGATTTTCATAGATTTGGTTAAAGCATGATGCTGAAATCAAGTTGACAGAATTAACAGAGAAAGTTCATGCGGAAGCAATAAAGTAAGTTATTTCTTTTTTTGTGTTTGTGGCTACAAACAATAGCTTTTATTTTGATCTAATTCTGTATTATTGATATTTTTTTAAATATTTGTTTTTACTTAAAATCTTATAAAGCTTTTAGTACTTTTTTCTCTTAAGTATATATATTAATTATAAAGCTTTTTTACTTTTTTCTCTTAAGTAACATTGATGAGACAACAAAATCTATTTACAAAAAGAATTTTGAGTTAGTTAAATCATTAGAGTACTATATTAAAATGTCAGAATCGCTGTCACAGGTACACAGTATATTTATATTACAAGTTATTGTGTTAAATTGTTAGAAGCAAGTTGCGGTGTTTAATTGTTAAAAGCAAGTTGCTGTGTTTAATTGTTAGAAGCAAGTTGTTGTGTTTAATTGTTAGAATCAAGTTGTTGTGTTTAATTGTTAGGATCAAGTTGTTGTGTTTAATTGTTAGGATCAAGTTGTTGTGTTTAATTGTTAGAATCAAGTTGTTGTGTTTAATTAATAGAATCAAGTTGTTGTGTTTAAAATTATTAGAATTCAGTGTTTGTGATTTTAGAGAGATTATTTTACATTTATTATTTATTTTTTCTTTGTTTTTTAGTCAACAACTGTATTGGCTAATGAGAAAAAAAAACTGTTAAATGAACGAGAAACTAACAATTTAATGGTTGAGGAAAAGATTAACCAAGCTAATTGTTTGCGCAAGATTATTAAACAAGTATAGTTTTATCTGTTTAATTATTTATAATTTAATAAAATATTATGTTTAATATACAGGGTTTTAAAACTTAATCCTGAACTCACTTCAGTTCATACACTCGGATTCAATATTATTTTAAATAGAAGTTTGTAAAATATAAATAAAATATATTTTAATATAATATAAAAGTTCACAAAACATTAAAATTAGATTCAACATTTGTGCTATATACACTTAGTTCATCGCCTGCATTTATAATTAGGCAGTACTACTATTAAATTTTTTTTTTTTCATTTGTTTGCTTTGGATACCTAATTAAGCACAGCAACAAACTTTTTTTGGTAGTTGCAGTGTTTATTTGTACTATGTACAGTATATTTGGTACATGTGTTTACATTTCTTAGATTCTCACACATAAAAAAGAGTTTTATCACTTCTTGGCCCACTGCGCAATCTTAGTTTTGTAGAAACAGTTAATTTTATTTTTTAATAATTGCTTTAGTTTTACACACACACACAAAAAAATGCTTTTTTGCTTTCTTGTTTTATAGATACATGCCAGTTTTAATAAATGTACAACACTTTAATTCAATTATAGTATGCAATCTAGTAAGGGGTCGTCCATAAAGTACGTTCGCTCATAGGGGGGAGGTCTTCAAAAAGCGTATGAAAGCGTATGGGGGAGGGGAGGTTCAATTTAAAAGTATGTACATCTATTTTCTAATTTATCACAATTAACCAGCTAATCAATAGAAAAGTTAAAATTCTGACTAAAGATTTAGTCAGAGTTTTAACTTTTAACCTAGTTTCCCAACATAAAAAGATGTTTGGTATAGGGGGTAGAGGGTATAATTTCCCTCAATTCATACACATGCAAGGAGGCCCCCAGGATTTTTTGATGTTCCAGATAGGACACTTTCACACATTGTGCAAACTCAAATTTAACTATGTTTATACCTATGCTAAACGAGGAGGCCTTGCAAAAAATTAAGGAGACCTGGGAGCAAAAAAGCCCTGAAACACCCCCCTAAAAAAAAGAGAGGAGGAGTGTAAATTTTGTATGGTCATAACTTATGTAATTTACAATATTTTTCTACGAAATTTTAAATCTGTTGATAAATTTAAATTTAGTCATAGATGATAAAGTTGAAATTTTACTACATTAGTGCCCACACTTGGGCAGGGTATGTGTGTGTGGGGGGGGGGGCAAGCGTTTGTAGGCTTTTTTGTTCCTAGGCCTGCGCCATCCCAATTTTTTGCAAGGCCTCTTCATTTGGCATAGTTATACTTAAATTTTAGAGCTTGCACAAATTTCACACATTTGGCATAGGCATACTTATGTTTGGAGCTTGTGCAAGCTCCAAACTTAAGTATACCTATGCTAAATGTGTGGAAATATTCTATCTAGAACATCAAAAAATCTTGGGGGCGCCCTTGCACACATGCCACCCCTTATATACTGGCCCTGTTTCAGGCAATATATTTTTTGAGTCAACAAAAAACAGGTTAATGGGTCGGAGGCCCATTTTCACTGCTAGGTTTTGCTAAAATAAAAAGCTCCTTAATTTAACAAAAAGACACAAAATGTTTTGTCCCTTTTCCCCCCTACCCTTTCCCCCACAAATTAAGGGATACGGGTAGCCTATCCTCGGCACTGAGTTTTAGGCTTTGTTTTTGATATTACTGATCTCGCGTAGGACTCATTTTTAACAGACTTACTAAATAAGAGTGCCTAAAAAAAAAAAGGGGGTATTTCAAAAACGTATGTATTTTTTTAGGGGGGGGGGAAGGACTTTGAAGTATGCATGGCAACAGGGGGAGAAAGGGGGGTCAGATTTCAAAACTTTTGGCGTATCTACTTTATGGACGACCCCTAATTATTGAAATGCAATCTAAGTAATTATTGTATTTATAATATAGCAATTATTGAAAATACTTTGTGATATAGAAAAAAATTTTGTCTTAATAAAAACTTCTAATATAGAAAATAGACATCTAATAGGCATCTAATCAGGTTGTTCTGAAAAATCATTTTCAAAATATGTGTCAAGTTGTAAAATTAGTATTAAATTGTTTTATGGTGTTGATTATTTTATGGTGTTGATTGTTTTATGCAGGGATAGATATCACAAACGCTGTTTGTGATATCTAACTAAAGAAAGTAATTTTGTTTAAGCATGGTTTTTACATGCGTTTACAAAATCCTGCAAAATTTTACTTAAAATGAATGCATTAGCTATTACTTTAAAAGAAATCATGCTAAAACTTTGCTTTATTCATAAGCGTGCCTTTTATTAAAAAAATTTATCGTTTAAGTGAAGTTATGTTCGTTTGTATATTCAAAACACTTTTAAAAGTTTTGAAAAGAATTTTTAAGATTTACTGAAATATATATAATCTAATAGAATATATAGAATTATTTTGTTTATTATAGTTTAATTTATTTTTATAGTAATATTATATTTTTATTATTAAATATAATAATTTCATATTAAGCAATTATTAATAACTTAATACCTTTATAAATACTTAATACAATATTATTTTTAAAGGTTTAAAAAAAGAAAAGTCAATACAACTTCTATTTTATTTTTAGTTCCCTTTTATTTTAATTTCCTCATGTTAATACGTTTTTTTATGAGTAAATGAATTTAACAAACTAAATTAAGAAAAATTCGCTATTTTTTATTAATAGAAAACCGTTTACAATCATTAAGTTATTGGATATTATTAAGGTCACTTTCCACAAGACAAGATTTTTTCGATGATAAGTATGTGCAGATAAAACATTTCTAATATTGCTGATCAATCAATTAGCTGCAGCAAAAAAAAAAGTCAATCGTTATAAGCGAAAACCATATTTAAATAGTATATCACAAGTCAACAGTAAAAAAAAGCGAAAGCATGCTGTTTCTTTAAAAGGGCAACAACAACAATGAACAACAACAATTTAAAAAAATGCTTAACTTGATGTTCTTATTTACTTAAAACTCACCCTGAAAATCGCCAAGCATTAGTAAATTCATCAAATAAATATGAATTTACTAATGTTGTCAATCCCGAAAGTTTCACTTCACAATAAGGTTTATCTTCTTTCAGAGTTGAACCATATATTACTTTTTGCAGTAACAGTTTTTAATAGAAGTGTTCCTATGAGAAGTTAGTATTTACTTTCTTAAACATTCTAAAAAATTACAATACAGATATACATCAAAAACAATTTTTTATATTTATATGTATTTTTTTTTTCAAAAGCATACAGTGTAAACTTATAGCTGCCATTTTTTATTGATAACAAAAATATTAGCATGAAAAATAATGTGGAAAGCAAAACGGCGTCTCTTCGACGAAAAAATTCGGTTCATGTGATTTTTTTCTTCTTGTGGAAAATGGCCTTTAATTATCATTAATTTGCGCGCACTTTGCAAATGCATAAAATATTGTATTGAAATAATAAAAAATTGAATAAATTCAATAAGCATGTTTGATATATCAAATAATTCATTAACTAGAATAAAAGTTATTTGAAAATAAATCTCCTTTATAATTTAATAAAAGGTTATTTAAATAAAAAAACTAATTTCAAATAAAATCCCTTATTTGAAATATACCTCTTAAATTAGATGTTGGTCAATAAATAAAGACACGAATGTTAACGTTTTTTAAAAAAAAAACGATTTGTTGCGCCTTGTTATGGTGTTGATTGTTTTATGGTGTTGATTATTTTATTGTGTTGATTATTTTATCGTGTTGATTGATTTATGCTGTTGATTATTTTAAAGTTGAGTATTTTATGGTGTAGATTGTTTTATTTAATTTATTGTTTTATGGTGTTGATTGTTTTGTGGTGTTGATTCTTTAGCGTGAGTAAAATTCAGTAATCTGATTTCAGATTACCAATGAGAGCAATTCAAATTATGTGTGGAAGATTTCATTTAAATCTCATACAATCGTTACTTTTTTTCGATTACTGCAAATGGAAATAGAGTTAACTTAATTTTAAAAAAAGAAGAACAAAGTAATAGATGGAAAATCTTGGTTATGTGAATATAGTTCATGCATTTTATAAGATTTTGTGGTATTTTTATATAACCTCACTCCAAAAAAGTGAATCAGAGAAATTAAACAATTTACAAATCACTCCAAAAAGTGGTTAAGAAAAATTATGTTTTGTCAAATTTTGATCAATATTTGCATACATAAAACAGTTTACACCTCACTCCAAGAAAGTGATTAAGAAAAGTTAAAAAATTTACCCCTCACTCCAAAAAACTGATTCAAAAAAGCTAAAGAAATTAAGTTATTATAAACATGTTATGTTATGTTTAGTTACAAAATTTTTAGGGTTTTATTTTATTTTTAATTTGGTTTTTTAATTCTTATTTAAAAGTTTGATTCAAAATATTTTTCATCGTTTATCAAAAAATTGTTGATTAACTGAAAAATTTAATAACAAGTCTAACAAGAAGCAACAAAAAATAACCAAAATTTGTTGATTTATAAAATCAATAATTTTTTAGTTTTTTATCATATAGTTTTTTAAGTCTTTGAGGAAATATTTTTCTCTTGTTTAAAAAAATTAATTTTGTATTTAGCTTGAAGTCAAATTTTACAGACTTGAGAAAGAACTTTCACAAGTTCTTTCTAATAATAAGCTGAAAAATTCTTTCATGATGAAAAAGCATAATGAAGAACAAGAGTCCGATAAGTAAATTTTTAACTTATTTTACTATTCAACTTGTGTTAATATTTAATATAATAGCATTATGTTGTTATAATAAATGCAGGATATGGTGCAGTACATACTACATTAAATCTATATAAAATAAAACTAATAAATAGGTTAAGCATGCGAGTAGCGCTCCACATTGACTGACAAATAAGTAAACATGTGATAAGTGCTGCTACAGTGACTGAAAAATAGGTAGAACATGTGAGGAGTGCAGATCATCAACTGAACGTTTTAGTTTGGACAGTCAATCTATCAATTTTAAATAAAAAGCTTTTTAAATTCTTTTAACTTTTTCTAGTCTTTTAAACTAATTTATTTTTTAAAAAAAACATAAAATTTATGTTTTATGGTAAAAATTAAAGATGACCAAGCAAATGTCTATATATATATATATATATATACAGGCTTCGGCAGGAATGGCGGGCTATAGCCTGCGCCCGCCTCCATACCCGTGCAAATCAGAGTACATGGGTGAAATAAAGCCCGTGTAAAATATAAATTTTTGTTAAAAATAAAGTAAAGTATTTTTATGTTTTTATTTAGGTATTCTTTTAAAAACTTCTCAAATGCTGTAATTTTGTCAAACTGTTTGTTTTACTAGTTAAAAAACAAAACTATTTTATTCCGGAAATGTTTAAAAAATTATGACAAAAATAATTTTTGAATATTCTATATATTTAAAAATAAAAAATTGAACAAGTTATTTTAAACAGCTATAACAGTTCTGTATTATTCTGTGTTATGTTGAAAGATAACTGATTAGTATGTTAAAAAGCAGGCAAAACATGCATGTGTTGCAAAAGAATTTAACATAATAGTCCGGGTTTTAAGTATTCTTTGGAACTTTTTTGTATAATCACACATTTTACTTAATTGATTGATAAACTAGTTTGTCATACTTTAAAGTTGTTTAAAGTAGTGCATATTTCCGTGTTAACTTCCTATTTTTTTTTAAAAAATGGTGGCAGTTCCTTTAATATGCTAATATAAACTTGTTATTAAAAATCGAATATCTCATTTATAATCAACAGACTGCTTATCAATTTTTATAGTATAAATTGAGTGTCTGATATAAAGTTTTTTTTTTTTTTTTTTTTTTTTTTTATTCATCTCCTCAAGGCCGAGAAGGCCACTACAGACAAAGAGACTACTTAATAGTGGTTATAACCCTCTCTCAACTCTATAACTCCAAAACACAAGTCTTGACGAACAAGGCCGCTGCGCAGAGAAACAAGTTAAGCGCGGTACTACCAGGGACGTGGTGGGGATTGAACTCGGAAACTCTTGCTTATGAAGCGAGTGTTTTACCACTACCGCATATTACCGCAAGTTATTAAGTTATTCAGGATATCAAGTTATTCAGGTTATCAAGTTATTCAAGTTTTCAAGTTATTCAAATTTTCAAGTTAAAAAGTAAATTTTCAGCAAAGAAAATGGCATCTTCGAGTAAAAGAGTTACACTAGCAACATATCTGAGTTGGGGTAAAGAAGAAACACCTGAATCGAGCGAAAGTGAAGAAACTGCATTAGATTTTGAAATTGACGATACTTTGAGATAATTTATTTAAAATGATTGTTTATAAATAATTTATTACTATATATATTCTTTTTGTATGATAAAGTTATTACTTTATGATTCATATTTTATTTTCGCTTTTATACTTGCTCTATATTTAATACATTTAAATATATTTTACATCAATAAACCTGATATATAAAATAATACTGCATTTAATACCCTTCTAATGGTTCTATTTATAAAAAAATGTAAAAAAGATGTTTGTTTTTTTAAATTCAAATAACGTTTTTTTTTATGTATGCCTATATTATTCAAGAAGAATATATTTAGAAAGTATATATACCAGAATCTTAAAAAATCTAATGGCACTCTTAGAAATTAAAAATTAAATAACCTCAAATTTTAACTTACATATCACATCAACATAACATATATTTTTTCCTAATTTCTAAAAAGAATATAAAATCAATTACGAGTTCATAAAAGAGTATGGTATTTACATTTGCATACTTTTCCACTGATTTAATTGCAAATTATTTCTTAGGTTGGTGTTAATATCTGATGAAATATGTTTACTTATTCTACCAACTTTATTCTTAGCTAGGTTAACCAGACGTTACATTAAATTTTAACAACTGCTAACAACTAATAATACATTAAGTTATATATGCTAGTTTCAACCATCAGCTAAGCAATTTAAAACAACTACCAACCTCAATTGAATATAGATTATACTCCTTTAACTCTTTAATCAAATTTTTTTTTAAAAAGACTGCTCCTATTTATAAAGATGCATTAAAAAAGTCTGGATTTTCCACCAATCACCAATATCACTCAAATCTAATACTAATAAATGAAAAAGAAATTTTATATGGTTTAATCCTCCTTTCAGTAAAAATATTGTAACCAAAATTTACATCTTTTCTTAAACTTAATTGACTTGCATTTTCCATTACATAATGAGCTCCACAAAATTTTTAACAGAATTACAATAAAAATTAGTTACAGCTGCATGCCAAATATTTGATCAATAATTCACAACCAACAAATTTTGATCATCAAACTCACCGTTAATGATACATATTGCAACTGCATTAAGGAAACATGCCTCTTAAATAACCAATGTCTATCAAAAAATGTTTTACATAAAGCCACTTTAGCATCACCTAATCCCAGTCTTACAAAAATTTTACATTGGTAATAGTGAAAATGCATTCTAGCTCAAGTTTACAAGCCACCTTAAATCCTTTAATACAATCAGGTATAGAAATTATACAGAATTTTTCAAAGAAATCTGGAAACATAAAGATACAGGTAACATGCCTATAAATCAAGTGGAACATATTTAAAAGATGCTAATCTTACAACCCACCTACAAAAAAGTGTAACCTTAGTATTAATGAAAAGTATTTTATTATGACTTTTGATAGTGGATCACTACAAAGCAAAAAAAAAAAAATTGGTTTCCGCTTGTAGGCATAGGAAAAATTTTTACTACCTCACTTTGATTCTGGCAATTAGCAAATATTGGATCACATATATTTGAAGTCAGATGCCGTTGCAATGCTAAACTTGTATTTTTTGTTTTTATTTTATATTTTTGAATAATATGGCTGATGATTTCCAAAAAACATGAAACTTTAAGTTCTATTACAAAGTTGTATTTTTTCATTTAATTTATATATATATATATATATATATATATATATATATATATATATATATATATATATATATATATATATATATATATATATATATATATATATATATATATATATATCAGGCCTTGTTTAAAAGTGTTATGTGTTGAGCAATTTATGTACGCCCTAAGCAATTTTACATTACCAGTAAGCGATTTTAGTTAAGAGACTTTTTATCATTTTTTAACTTTTAAATCATTCTATAAGTGGTATGATAAAAGAAGTAATTAATTTTAAAAAAAAAACATTAAATTTTGAATGACGTTTATGTAAAAAACTTTTTTTACAAAAGTTTGAATAATAATAACGTTAAATATTTACTAATGAAAAAATTTACTATTTACTAATGACAACAAAATTAAAAATTTATTCTTATTTTGTTTTTAATTTATTGTAATTATTGGTTTAAGTTTATTAATGTTAAAGTTAATGCTTAGGTTTTAACTTAACTGTAAAATTTATTTTATAATACTACTATATATTGTTCAATATTTTAAATTTTATTTGTTCTTAAAATAAAACTAGCTCATTTTTATCGCAATTGTTTTTTTTTTGTTTTTACTTCCTAAACATTTTTTTTTTTTTACTCAAACTTAAATTTTAAATAAACGTCTGCATCAAAAATTTGCACAAAACATAAGTTAAACTTTTTTTTTTTAAACGCAATTTAAATCGCAGCGATTATTTTTTAATAAACAATATATAGCAATATAATTTTAACAACTGATGTCTGGAAAAATAGCCTTTGCTATGGCAACAAATTCGTAAATTAAAAAATAAATTTTTAATAAATAGAGTAAATAAAGTAACATATTATTTGTTATTTTCTAATTTTTTTTTTAATAAAAAATCATTTGTAGTTGCAAAGCTGTAATTAGAAATTTAAGAAATGATCATTTAAAAATTCAAAAATTTAACATATTTTAGTTCATTTATGCAAATGTTAAGAAAAGAAAGAAATTTGTTAATATCAAACATTTTTTTAAATGTATTACTAAATTTAGTTTTATTTAATTACTAATTACTAAAAAAAATTACTAAAATTAAAGAATATTAAGATTCCCTTATAGTAATAATAAAAAAGAAGTTAAATAACATTTAACTTGTTTTGCGGTAATTAATATTATTGCAGTAATTTAAAAATTTAATGTCTTTAAAAAATAAAATAAAAAGAATTTTATGGCGTCAAATTCACATTAGGCTATTGCATTAAGCATTTTTTATTTAAAACAAGGCCTCTAAATTAAAGCAGAAGATGCTGTATCAATAATCTAGCGAAAATTTCTTAAATATAAAAAAATTATATATAATAAAAAAGTTAGTATTGAGAGATATAATAAAAGTTAGTATTGAGAGAATTTGTATTCATTGATGTTCATATATTAAATTTATTCAGCTCTCATACAAGATGTCATCATTTAAAAAGGCCTCTGTATGTGTATATATATATATATATATATATATATATATATATATATATATATATATATATATATATATATATATATATATATATATATATATATATATACATATATATATATATATATATATATATATATATATATATATATATATATATATATATATATATATATATATATATATATATATATATATATATATATTAGAGATGTGCCAGAACCATTTTATGCCGAGTCCCTGATTCTGGGAATCCAAAAAAAAAAAACTCGGTCTTAGTCTGGGTACCTGGCACAGATTCTGCATTAAAAAGGTGGAATCAAAGCTTGAGAAATCTTTTCCGCCGAATTGTTTTTTTCACAAAATAATGCTGATTAATTTACGCTAATTAAGTTTGCCTGAATATACCAAGTTTCTTAACATTAAATAATAATTGGAATAATATTTAGAATAAGGGGTCATCCATAAAGTATGTACGCTTTTATTTTGACCTCCCCCATATTTATATATACATTTAGATATACGCTTTTTCGAGTACCCTCCACCTTCCTTATAGTACCTACGCTTTAAACCTATCTACCCAACATTTTATCATATTTTAATAATTTAGTGTTACCTTTTATAATTGACCTCTGCCCCTCATCTCATATACGCCATTTGCAGAATCCCCCTCCCGCATCCGAGCGTATGTACTTTATGGACGATCCCTAACTTGCCATCTTACGTCGTCAATGCCAAAATCATCAAGAGAGCTTTAAAATTAAAATTAACTCTATCAACTTCAAAAAGTACTGTTCCGGCTAACTAATTTTTGTTTTATAATTGTGGTATTATAAATAATTTATATGTTTTTTAATTTCTTGCTAAATAATTGCTAATATGCGCTAATTAATCAAAAGTTATGAAGAATAAAAGATTAAGATTAAGACAGAATTGCAAAAAAAAAAAAAAAAAAAAGAGAGAAGACCTCCTCAACTGTAGTGTGATTAAAATGCAAAAAGTATTTTCAAGTGAGATACATCTATATTGAGTTAATAGGGCTTTGTGGTTATAAACTCCATAACACTCTTAGACTTATATCAAGTTTGGTTGAAGTTAAAACTAAAAGCAATCCTGTTAATAATATTTCAACACAATTCAAAGTACCACTTAAACATTTGGTTACAGTATTTAACTTTAACAATTAAACATATAGTTACATACATTTGCAAGTGCGTAAATTTGTTTGAAATAAGTGGGAAAAATTATTTGCATTGTTTTCATCATAAGGAAGCTCTATAGCACTTGCTAAAAGAACATGCTTTCTAAAAGAAGCTTCCAAATTATAAATATTATAAATATTTTTGTTACTTTACAATTTAAAGATTTGAAGTTATGCGCCTGCATGGTATTATTCAGATGAAAAACAAAGAACTTAAAAGCATGAAAATACTGTCTAAAAAGATAGTTGATGAGGTGATTTTTTAATTTTATTTAATCTTATTATTAAAAAATTTCAAATTAAAAATCAGATAGCATTTTTATTGTCTTTGACCATAGTGAAGAATTGAAATAAAAAACTTTTTGAATTAAATTTTCACCTTTTGTATTTTTTGTGATCATGTGTTTTTTACAAATAATTCGAAAAAGTTTACTTTACTTACACTATTCTCTCCTAAGATTGCCAGGTTAAATTTTGGCTAAATTTTGCTGTTGTTGTTGTTTACTATTGGGTTTGGTAACATTGTTTTTTAAATTGACGGTCAGGTTGAAACTCTTCCTATTCCTGATTTTTTGCATTTAATTAATTACGTGCATTCGTAAACACAGTTTAAGTTGTCAGAATAATCTGAACTAAGTGCTAAGTGCATATTTTTTCAAAATTAAAACTTACAATTTTTTGTTTTTTTTTCTTCCTAAGTTTGATTAAAGTCAGCCATTATGTTAGTCAAAATAAACCATAAACATTTATTAACTTCGTTTGCAAAAAACACATATAACAAATAGATATATAACACAAATTATATTAATTCTCTACAGAAGACTTTAGCTTTTCTCCATAATTTTTGTGTCCAATAGTTCTTTTATAGTTCACCCAAGTTTTTTTAAATTTGTAGTGAACAGCTTCACCACATTGTTCTGCGTAGTTTCCTGGGCTAATATTATTGTGTTCTATAAAGGAAAGAATATGACACACTAAAATATATATTTTCCAGGAAACTTTTAAATCGTAGTCAAAAATATCTTCTGCATATAATTGGAGACTAAAAAAAGAATATTTGAAGTCTTTAATTTTAGCAGAAACATATGCACCCATTTCTAAACTGAACACTGCTGATTTTACTAGTAAAAAGGCAAAAAATTAATTATTGGTAAAATATCAATCATTGCAGTTAAGGTAACATCCCTCTCCAAAACATCTAACAAGGACATAAAATTATTAGCTTTGTTTCCATCTCAACCTACTTCATGGTATCTCATTAATATGTAATGTGTTTTTAACCAATTTTGAAAAGGTGGCCAAACACATAAAAGCATGGTACAAAGTTTATCCACAGCTCCTATCATAATGTGGAGCTCAAAAGGAGGAACATTGTGTTCAAGAATTATTTCTTGATCTTCTTTTAAGTATATTAAATAAGGATTTATAACACTTTTGTATTCCTGCATTTTTAATCTTTTCTTTTCCTTCACATACATATTGATCATAACATAAGTCTATGGAAACCAATGTTCTTAGTTGCCCTGCTTCAAGGGAGCATTCTCCTTCACAATAAAGACAAGCATATTTGCCAGAATGACTTGAAAGTCCAAGAACACTGTTTGCACATTTTAAATCAAATGCTAAACTAAAATTTACTTCTTCGAGTTTCAAAGGTTCCAATAATTTTTGGAAATTTGTCATTATCCTCTGAAACCATTTCCACAATGGCAAGGTAAAACAACGTTTCACACAAGAATCTTCATACATTTTGGATGAAGAATAATGATTTTTTGACCAGAAACATTAATGATAACTTTAAAGAAGTTTTGACCTCCATCTATAGATATTCTTACTATTGCATTAGGGGTATCAATACCTCTTTCATCAATTATAAATTTGATAAATTCTTGACATCTCTAACAACTATTTCATCGCCGTCAAGGAATTCTTCAGTTTTACATTCATATTAAGCTTCTAGAGTATCCTGTAATTCAGTCATTTTAATATTAATATTTGATTCTACACCAGTTAGATTACTGTGTAAATTAGAACACAGTTTTTTAGTTTTGTTCTTAGAGAGTTCTAATACGTTCGATAGCTCCATAATGGTTTGGAACCAAACTTGATTTACTTTCTTTCTTTTTGACTTATTTTCATTTATTCCAACTGTAACAGAGAGAAGATTTCCACCAGTAGACAACACAAACTGCTCTCCACTTACAATGTTTTCACATTCCATTTTACGTTTTAACAATCCAGAAGCTATTTGCTCTGCACCTTTATATCCAAACGATTCACTAATTCAATGATATTGTAAACTGCTTTACTTTTGCAACAATCATGAGAAATTCCTCTACCTAAAAGTATTAGTAAGAAATTTAAAACTATTTTAACAGTAGCTTGAAATTACATAAGAAATAATAATACATTGAATCAAACTGTAATGTAACATAAAGAGAATCAAACTTCAATTAATCTTATTTAAATTATAAAATCATAGTATTAACATACCAAGATTCTAAAATTAGAGACAACAAATTTTCTCATTCACATTTGAAAAATTCAAATCTGGCTTAACATTTGTCTGAATACATTGCAGTGAACCAATTTTTGTCTGCTGCTTGAGAAATTGAAATTTGAATGCATCCATTATTAAACTACTACTACTACTACTACTACCAGGCTTTCCCAGGAAAAGCGTGCGGTCGCACGCCTTGTTTGTCCATGCATAGAATAAGTTTTTCAGAAAACATGACCGCGGCAATATTTTGTGTGAAAGCGGAAATTATTACAAAGAAAAAATAATATTAAAAAAAGGAAACGAAGTCTAAACAAAGTATAAAATTGAAATTGGATGTAAGAAAAATATTTTGTTAAGAAAAAAAAAAATTAAAAAAAAAAAAAATTCTTGTAACAAAAAAAAAAAAAGTCTTGAACATTTTTTTCAAACTTTTTATACTGTTTTTGTTTGCTTTTTTAAGGGTTGCTATTTTCAGCTACGAAATTTGATACAAGTCAAGGGAAAGACGACGATAAGTCGAAAAGTTTTCACGAAAATAAAAAGACTTGATACGTAATTTATTCACGAACTTTATCAGACAATGTATTAAAAAACTGATTCATTATTTACGCTAGACAAATTTGGTTAAACTTTTTCATTTACTTTAGTTTTTACGAAAGTTTATGTAAAGGCGTTGACTTTATTCCCCAATACTTTGACAAGAAAATAAATTGCTGTTTTAATTATTAAATATATTATTTCAGATTTTAAACATAACAAAATTTTAATGTGAAAAAAGTTCTTTTTCAACTTATTCTAAACTGATTATACTGAGTCAATGCTCGCCTTTTATTACGTTGAAATTATTCAATTGCATAATTTTGTAATTACGAAAGAAGTTAAAAAAATAATTGTATTGCTTCTGTTGTCATTGTTACGAAAACAGTTCCTTCGGGACATTATTATATATTAACACTCGTTCACAATGTTAATTAATGATTGCAAAATAAACAACTCAATCGTTTGACAATAAAATTTTCTTTCGTTTAAAAAAAACAACAACATTTTACTAATAAATAGCAATCGTTTTCGTGTTTTCTTGCGTATCAATACATTCAAACATTTAAATCAATACACTTAAACATTTAAATGTATTTACGAAACATTTAAAAATTGTTTATAGTTCTATCGTGAATTTTAAAGTATTACTGACTGATAAAAGTCATAAACAAATTTACATTAAAAGGTCCTTTTATTTTCTTTAAACATTAATCTTTTTCTCTTTGATTTGATTTTTCTTATTGATTTGATTTTTCATAGCTAAAATAACTACCACCCTAAAAAAATAAATAAATAAAATGTAGGTAAATTTTTTTTTAATAATATACATTAATTTTTTAATTTTAAAGCACAAACAGATTTCTGTTATTTACTTTAAGATTGCTTGCATTTTTGCGGTATTTTTGTTTAGCTTTGTTTTGGCGCGAATTCTTGAAATGCATAATAATAAAACGTGGTCAGTTAGTCAGAAAAATTTATTCTGTGCGTGGACAAACAAGGCGTGCGACCGCACGCCTTTCCTGGGAAAGCCTGTACTACTACTACTACTACTACTACTACTACTACTACTACTACCTTTATAAATCTCTTATGTATCCTTGTATGCAAGGATACATAAGAGATTTTACTATGTCTTTTCTCATTTAGATGATGTCTCTTGAGATTTTCTCATTTAGATGATTTCTCTTGAGATTTTCTCATTTAGATGATTTCTCTAGAGATGGTGTCTCGATAAAAATACTCATCTTGGGCAGATGTTAAATGCATCTGGCTGCTGTCTTGTAGAAGGCCTCTTAGGCAAAGACTTAAGGAGTAAACAGATTCTATCTGTTGACCAGCCTCGCACCCCTTCTTCATCTATTAGGCTGGCACAGATGTATTTTTAATACATTGTTTCCAGTTAAGGATGTTGAACGCTGGATCTTCTTGACTCGATTCATGGGTTTTGCTTGTGTCTCTGTTTTTATGACTAGGCAACTCATTCTATTATCTTCAAATGAGGGTACAGCTCTAAAACTCAGTTTTATGGTTCTGAGGCCGGCTGGTAGTCAGGTTTCCCGAACTCTGTAATAGCACTAAGAGAGGTTGATTCCATCAACAGCTGAAAAATATCAGAGTACTAACCGTGCCATATTGCGCATGAATGGTGTCCCTGTTTGTACTTTTGGCGTGCATTGCCAAGGCCACATTGGAGCTCTTTGTTACGGCTTAGGGTTTATTAGTGTAAATGAGGCAATTGCTTGGCTATAAAACAGTGTACTGAGTACTATCTATGTTTCGAGTCAAGTTCTTTAACAAATTTAAAAAATGAGTAAAGTAACAAAAACTATAAAACACAAAAAACCACAGTCATCACCAAGTTTGCTAAACCTATCATTCACCAATATTCGTGGTCTATAAAGTAACTTTTCTTCTGTTGAGTCTTATCTCTTGCAAAGTTCACCAGACCTACTTGCTCTTTGTGAGACTAATTTGAGTTCAGCTGTCTCATCTTGTGATCTTAGTGTTGATGGTTATCTTCCTTTAATTCATAAAGACTCCAATAGTCACATGCTTGGCCTATGCATTTACATTCGTAAGAATTCACCCATTTGTCGGGAAACTAGGTTTGAATCCACAGACTACTCTTTTATGTGCTTTCGTTTAGCACCACTTCACACTATCACTTTTCTCTTTGTTCTCCTTCATCTCAAGACTGCACTCTTCTTGATGTTATTTCTGATTATATTGACCAAGCCCTCATTCTTTATCCATCAGCCAATATTGTTGTTGTCTAAAGGCCCACAACTTTTGCCTTTCTCTATCCCTAAATCAAATAGTCAACTTTCCAACTCGCTTTCCAGACAACCCAAATCATTTACCTTCTCTACTCGACTTATGTCTTGTTTCTGATCCTAGTTGGTGCTCAGTTTTTCCATATTCACCCTTAGGTGCTTCTGATCATGGTTTGGTCTCTCAAACTATTATCTCATTCTTCTTTATCATCAGAATCCCCCTATCATTGTACATCTTATAACTACCTTAAAGCTGACTGGGACTCTTTCCGTGATTTTCTTCGTGATGGCCCCTGGGTAGAAATCTTTCGTCTTCCTGTTGACAAATGTGCTTCTTACATAACTTCGTGGATTCAGGCTGGCATGGAATCCTTTATTCCCTCTCGACGATTCCAGGTCAAGCCTCACTCTTCTCCATGGTTTTCCTCACATTGTGCTGCTGCAATTGCCAATCGAAAACATTACTTCCATATCTATCAGCAAAACAATTCTCCAGAAAACAGACGCCTTTTTTACTGCTAGGAACCATTGTAAAAAGGTTTTGTCTAACGCCAAAGCCCGCTATTCTCAGATCATGAAATCTCGTATTTCATCGCAAAAATTAGGCTCTCGTGACTTCTGGAGAATCTTTAATAGTATCAATAATAAGGGTAAGTCTGTAATTCCACCTCTTTTGTACGGTTCAGTCACCTCACCTAAAGACAAAGCTGAATTGTTTGCCAAGAACTTTTCATCAATATCATTTCTTGATTACACTAGGTTCGTTGCGTTCTACCTGATATAGTCGTCAAACAGGTTGATCCATTGCTCGACATCCGTATTGCTCCAGCTTCTGTATCTAAAGTGATTTCCTGCTTAGACTCTTCTACAGCTTGAGGCCCGGACAACATACCCGTTATAGTCCTGCAGAAGTGTTTTCCATAGCTGTCGTCTATCCTTTCAAAACTATTTAACAAGTGCTTATCAGAGTCTTGTTTTCCAGCCTGCTGGAAAGCAGCATCTGTTATCCTATTTTTAAAAATTCTGGGGAGCGATCTGATTCATCTAACTACCGTCCCATTAGTCTTCTTCCTATCATAAGCAAGGTTTTTGAATCTTTAATTAACACTTAATCTCTAATCTCGAATCTCATAACCTGCTTTCTGATCATCAATATGGAATTCGATATTCTTATTCTACGGCTGATTTGCTATCAGTAATAACCGATAGGTTTTATCGCGCATTAGATAAAGGTGGAGAGGTTAAGGCTATCGCTCTTGACATTTCTAAAGCATTTGATAAAGTTTAGCATGCTGGTCTTCTCCATAAGCTTTCTTCTTACAGTGTATCTGGAAACATCTTTAAGATTATTGAATCCTTCCTTTCCAATCGTAGTATAAAAGTTGTCCTTGATGGACAGCACTCTTCTTCTTATTCTGTAACCTCAGGGGTTCCTCAAGGTTCAATCCTTGGCCCTATACTCTTTTTAATTTACATTAACGATCTTCCAGATATTCTCACATCTAAGGTGGCATTGTTCGCTGATGATACTACCATTTATTCTTGTCACGATAGGAAGCCAACTCCCTCTGATTGCTTGCAGGGGGCATCTGAGCTTGAAAAGGATCTCACTTCTGCTACAGCATGGGGCTCACGGTGGCTGGTGAACTTTAATTCAGATAAAACTCAATATTTTTCAGCCAATCGTTATCGCAATAATTTAGACCTTCCTATATTTATGAACGGTAATGTACTCGATGAGTCTCCTACCCTTCATCTTCTAGGATTAACTCTTACTTCAGATCTTTCTTGGAAACCTTATATCAAATCCATTGCAAAATTAGCATCTGCTAAAGTTGCATCTCTTTATCGAGATCGACACTTTCATATTCTGGATTCTATTCTCTATCTCTATAAATCTCAAATCCGACCTTGTATGGAATACTGTTGGCGGATCTTCTAATGATGCCCTTTCTCTTTTAGCCAAGATGCAATAACGCATTGTAAACATAGTTGGACCTGCTCTTGCAGCCAACCTTCAACCTCTGTCACATCATCGTAATGTTGCTTCTCTTTCTCTTTTCTACAAATACTATAATGGGCACTGCTCTAAAGAGCTAGCGTCTCTTGTGCCATCTACTTGAATTCATTCTCGAGTTACTCGTCATTCAATTAAGTCTCATCCTTTTTCTGTGACTGTTCCTAAGTGCTCCAAAAACTCTTACTCGTCTGGTTTTTTTCCTCAAACATCAGTCATTTAGAATTCGCTTCCTTCATCTTGCTTTCCTGATTCATATAATTTGCAATCTTTTAAGTTGTCTATCAATCGTTATCTTGCTTTACAATCTTCATCTTTTCTCTTCCGGTAACTTCCAACACTAATTAGTGGTTACTTGCAGTCTTGTTGGAAGCGAAGATGTTTAAAAAAAAAAAAAAGTAAAAATTAAGTTACTTTAATACAAAAATGCTTTTTATATAATTTTAACCCGCAGGTCATATTGGTTAAACTCTCTACGCAACAAAAGTATTTTGAGAACACTTAAAATCTCAAAAAACATTTTGTGTATATAAAAGCATATCAACGGTTGATAGCTTCAATTTAGCCTTCTTAAGAATCTTTTTTTATTCTTAATACAAGACACCCTATAAATTAAAAATTTAAAGAGTTTACTGAATATAATTTTGAAAAAATATGATCAAAATAAACAGGTTTTTAATTATACATTATATTTTTCTCCACTTCTAACTTTTATTTTATTTTTTCTGCTGCATTTTTTATTTATTAACCTTTTATATTACATAATAATATAAAAACTTAAATTTTTAAAGTAATTTCGGTTTTGTACTTTTTGAATTGTTTTTATATCTTTTTTTTATAACTCTAACTCTTGTCAGCTTAATTACTAGTTTCCTCTTACATTATAAACTATATTTATACTCGAGGTCATTTCCTCTTATATTATAAACTATATTTATACTCGAGGTCATTTAATTACTAGTTTTCTCTTACATTATAAACTATATTTATACTCGAGGTCATTTAATTACTAGTTTTCTCTTATATTATAAACTATATTTATACTCGAGATCATTTAATTACTAGTTTTCTCTTATATTATAAACTATATTTATACTCGAGGTCATTTAATTACTAGTTTCCTCTTATATTATAAACTTTATTTATACTCAAGGTCATTTAATTTAGGTAAAATAAAATGTCAATCTTAGTAAATATTATCTCAGAGTTGTTAACAATTGGCATAACTTGTTAGTTGATCTTGTGTGCCAAAAATATCAAAAGATTTAAGATAAAAATTAACTCCATCAGTTTTGAAATTAAAGTAAATCTCACAAACTAATTGTTTACAGTACAGTAAATCTCACAAACTAATCGTTTTGTGATTGAGATATTGTGTTTCTTGTTTTTGTAGTTTTTATTACATTTATTATATTATTTAAGGTTACATTGTCAGCGTCCTATATATTTTTTAAACCTGTGTGTCCTTTAGTACATGCATTACTTGTTCTAATCAATTTTAATTTAGTTCAAAATAGATCTGAGTGGGTACTGGTAACTTAGTGCTTCAAATAATAAATTTTAAATGCTGAAAGTTAGGATTTTGAATGCTAGGAAATTTCAATTTTAAAATTTTTATTTTAATCATTTTCATAAAACATAAGAAAAATGCGCTACTTATTTTTTGATTTTATTTATATGGTGGTATTAATTCTTATTTTAGTATTTTATTTCGAAATATTTAGCGATCAGAAATAGAGAAATTTTTAATTGAATCATTGGAATATGTCAAAAATGAAATTATCAAGAACAGGTAAAATATCTATTATATGTTGTTAATTAGTTTAGTTAATCAATTTTTGTATTTAATTGGGTGACAAATGTTATTTTTTAATTTCAGATCACGGTTTAAGCGAGATGCTGAAATGGTTTATAATAAGCAGATGCGTTCAGCTCACGCAAACCTTGTCGATTTTCCAAAAATATGTAATTTTAAACATTCCAAATTTAGCACGAACAATATATTTTGTTATTTAAAGGATGCTGATAGTTGGCATGGTGTTAGTGACAAAGTTGATATATCTTGTCTCACTTGGGAGCAAAGGGAGAAAGTATTGAGGCTATTGTTTGCTAAAATAAATGGTTTATCTTTTAGGTTCGTTTTTTATATTTTTTTTTATTCCTGATTGTTCGCATAGACAATTTGTCTTAAGTAGGTAAGCCAGCTAACAAACTGACTTGGGTAGGTCAGGTTAACTAATTGAAATAGAAAAAATCAATTTAGACTTTTACATTTTATTTAAAACACTGGCTTTAGTCATTAAAATTAAAAACTTTATTTTTTATATAAAATTTTTCATTTTAAATTGAAGTTTTTTTTTAATTTTATAACAACGTGCTGAGTGAAATGTTGTCGATGTGCAAAATACAAAATGAAATCTTACGTTATCGTTTAAAAACCTTTAGAGTGAAATAGTGCGAAATAAAATATTCATTTTTTATAACATTAACTTTTATAAACGAATTTAATTTAATAAATTTAATTTTATAATTATTTTTATCAGCAACGAAGAAGCTTTTGTGAAGGCTAAAGAATCTCTTCCTTCAATTCCTTTGGTTAAAAATACGACAGAAAATAAAATTGCACACAACTCCGGCACAAAAACATTTTTAACGGAAGCGGACGAATTACCGGAAGTTTTCAATTGAAAAAAAAAGATGAATGTATATACTAAAATTTCAATCTTATTAGTTAGTTTTGTAGTTTACTGTTAATTAATCAATATTGCGTTTTCAATACACGTCCTCTGACAATGCTTAAAAGTAGAAGTTGTTATGACAAATATATTAAAGTACTTGTAAATTTTAATTTTCTTTACGAAAAAAAAAAAAGATTAATCAATGTGTGGAGTTTTTATAAAAATTAGTTTTTAGGAAAGGGCCTAGTTAAAATAAAGGCCTAGAATAATAAAGTCATTCATCCTCAGAGTATTAAATCTGTCTTCTTACACAGTTTATCCAGTCTTTGCATATGCACTTATTTTTTGACCGTTTATGTCGATGCATATGTTTGGATTGAATCGATATATTTGTTTGAGGTAGCAAAGGGAGTACGTTTTTATTTTGTCCTAAGCCTTCGTCTATAATTGTTTCTACCTTTGATTCCGGCGATTAACAAATATCAGATCACGTATACTTGACGTTGATGCCGTAACAATGCTAAACTTGTATTTTCTATAACGGTTTTTATTTTATATTTGAATAATATGGCTGTCGATTGCCGAATGGCATGAAACTTCAAGTTCATTATAAAGTTGTATTTTTTATCTAAATTACATATATATATATATATATATATATATATATATATATATATATATATATATATATATTTAAATTAAAAACGTATTTATCAAGGTTTTTATGTTCGCAATGTTATTTATTTTTTTACATGATTATATGAAAATTGTAACATTGTTTAATCAGCAAAATAAAATTTATTAAATATATATATGTATATATATGTATATATATATATATATATATATATATATATATATATATATATATATATATATATATATATATATATATATATTGAAAATATATTGTGCTATGGAGCGGATTTGAATCCTCGCAAAACGGTACCGATGACAGTGCATTAAACCACTGATCTTTTCAATTTATGCATGTAATTAAAAAACAAATCATTTTATAAGCTCTTAAGGTGAGTTTCCACTCATCCGTTTTTTTACGGGAATGGGATAGGAAAGGGAAAAATAATCACGTGAGCATGCGTAGTTTTACTTCGGACAAATTAAAACTTATAATACGCATGCCCACGTGATTATTTTTTCCCTTTCCCGTTCCCGTAAAAAAACGAATGAGTGGAAACTCACCTTTATGGCGATTTCAGTTGATCAACACTTTTCAAGCGTTTAAAGTGCAGTTTTATTGCATATGATTGAAGTTGCGCTTAAATTATTTTTGCTTATATATTATCTCTCACTCTATCCTACTGAACTTGTGTGATTAAAATTTTTTTTTTATTTTACATTTTTTCTAATCTCATCCGTTCATTCTCTTTTTTTATTTTTCATTTTTCTTAGACTTACTCCTTTATATTTTTTTTCTGATTCCAACTTTTTTAATATTACTGTTCCTATTACTACTTATTATTACTTGTATTAATGTAGTTTACTTTCTTTATTATTTCCTTGTTTTAATATTTTTTTATTTATTTCTTTATTTTATTAAGGTGTCACTCCATTGACTAGTTTTTAACTATATGAGCGACACCAAACCTAACATTGTAAGTTATAATTAAATTTGCAATTTTTGATTTTATGGTTAACACGTTCGCTGCCGAGCTATTCTTAAATATGCTTTAATACTTTGCCGAGCCATAATGCCTGCAATGATTAATTTTTGCCGAGGCTGTTTTGCGCGGTTTCATTCTCATTGCCAAGGCTAGATATCAACATTTCATCAAATAAAATATTTTAATCTAAAATAATTTTATAGTATTTTTTTATTCTAAATATAACTGACAAAAAAATAAGCACTACGAATATACTCGTACTTTGGCAATGGAGAAGAAATTTTTTTCTCCAGTGCCGAAGTACGAGTTTACTCGTAACACCGTAATGAGTATAACTCATTGCAGTGACTAGCAATGTAGCTTATTTGATGCATTAAGCATCCGCATTTTATTGTGTACTTCAAATGTTATTATATACTTCAAACTAGTTATGTCAGCGCTATGAGTATAGTTTATTGCAGTGACATTACTAATCACCGCAATGAGTTATACTCATTGCGGTGACATTACTAGTCACCACATTAAATAATATTTAATGCATTATTATTATAAATAGTGTTTCAAATTCACATGCATAGGGTTAGGACTATTGTAATTGTAATTAAAACAATAACAGTAACAATAATTATTGTTATTGTATTAACTTAATTTAGAAACAATAACAAAACTTGTGATTTATAACTATTGTAATTCTGTAATACAATAACAATAAATATTGTATTGCAATTCATCTTTATAAAACAATAACAACATCTGAAAAAAAATGTATTGTAATGACCCACTACAATAACAATAAATATTGTATTGTAATTCGTCTTTGTAATACAATAACAATATTTTGTTATTGTAATAAAAAAATTGTTTTAGTGTCAAAATTTAATAAATGTTCAAAATTTAATAAATGTACCCTTGAAATAGGGTACAACTAATATTTAATGATTGATTGGCAACTTTAAATATTGAAAATTAAAGTTAACGGGATCAAAAAAAGAGAAACCACCATTTTTCTGCAAATAAAAGGGATTCGGCAGACTTAAGACAGTGATTCAACATAAAATACGTCCTGAGAAAGGTAAAATAAATAATAAAAATAAAGTGATTAATTTTCTTTAAGTTTAAAAATTTAACAGAATATTTTACAATAATAAACTACAGAATGCTCATCAAATTGCCCACAAATGCAAAGTCCAGTTACTTTTGCGTTCGGCGCGTATAAATATTCCCAGTGGACACGGAACATGAAAAAGACACCTTTTAAACGTCTTTTGAACGATTTGGACGTCTTTTCAACGTTCAAAAGACGTCTTCTTTAGGTCCCGCGCCTACTGGGTTAACGCAATGAAAACTCGCTTTATTAAACAGGCGGTGCAATGTTTTGATACTCGACTCTTACTTGCTATTTTTTTCAGATTAAACTTTAAAGAATCAAAATCACTTAATATCACGTAATACTCTAATACTGTGTGGAAACGTCTTTCCAGCCAACATAGCTTCAACACCAGCAATCGCAATTTTCAATACACCTTCTAGAACATGACATTAATATACAAACACAATCAACAATTGCTGGATTTTTTTCAACTGTTTTAGCTACTAACTTTTCCTGAAGAACTGAGAACCACCATAGCATTACCAACGTAGTCAAAAAGATCAAAAATTTATTTTCTGCGGCTTTTTGTACCACTATGGCTCATGTATGTAGCATACAACTCTAAAGAATTCCACATACGACCACAATTACTGTTCATAGTAGAGATAACAACAGTAAAACCTTTATCCTTTTTAATTAAAACACTAACAATCCCTTTGTTCTGTGCACTTTTAACATTTCGAGCGGTCATAAAGTTTGTGTAGCATGTAGAGTAGCGCTTGCTATCTTCAAATATTTTAATCTGCAAACAAATAAATTAAAAACTACTCTCTTTTTATTTGGTATAAATTAATTATCAAAAGAACATTTGCGAACGTATGTCTTACGTAATAGTACCAATAAAATACCACAATGAGCGGAAACTAAAAACCTTATTGCTACGAAATTATCCTGAATTAGCAATTTAAAATTCGGGAAATTTCTAATAAAACTATTTATAAGTAAAGTCTTGTATTATAAAAAGAGTATACCAAAACTTTTATAATTTCATGCATTTTGCTTTCCAAATGCTTTTAAATTATAATTTAATAGCATTTGGAAAGCAAAAGGCATGCTTAAAATTTTTTTTAATCGTAAATACAATTATAATTTCGTAATAGTCTGATAAAAGATATAGTATTAACAGTAACCTTAATACCATTACATATAAATATTTTTTTTAACAAACCTAATTTCTTTTAAATTTCAGGTCATGCCTAGAGTTTATAAAAGGAAAAGTAAAACTCCACATGTTTCAGAAAACATTTTGAAGGTTGCTGTAGCTGAAGTGGAAAATGGGATGAGCCTTAGAGAAGCAGCATGTTCAGCTGGCATTTTTAAGTCTGCACTTCATAGGTGTATTAAAAAAAAGTGTCAATACCCAGCTGCTAATCTTCAACCAAATTATCAACATTCTATGATTTTCTCTGTTGCACAAGAAGAAACACTAAGCACTTATCTAAAGACATGTTCTGATATGTTATATGGTCTTACACCAGTTCAAGTAAGAGCTCTAGCTTTTGAAATGGCTCAAGCAAACAAAATAAAATGTCCCATGCGTTGGATAGAGCAAAAAAAGGCTGGTCGAGATTGGTTAACAGGATTTTTAAAAATAAACCCAAAACTATCAGTTAGAAAACCAGAGGCAACTTCAATGGCAAGAGCATCAGCATTTAATCGGTATACTATTGATATTTTCTTTAACAAATTACAAGAAGGTATATCAGAGTCTAAAGCAACATCGTTTAAAATTTTTAATCTTGATGAGACAGGTTTTACTACTGTACAAAAAACTCCTCGTGTCATTGCATCAAAGGGAACAAAGCAAGTCAGGCAAATAACATCTAGAGAAAGAGGTGAATTAGTAACAGTGTATTGCATTGTCTCTGCAGCTGGTGTAGCAATACCCCATGTTATTGTTTTTCCAAGAAAATTATTTAGAAACCCACTAATGAGAGGAGCATCAGAAGGTTCTATTGGATTAGCCAATCAATCTGGATGGATGAATGCTGAAGTATTTATTGATGTTTTAAAGCATTTTGTTAAGTTTGCTTGTCCAATAGCCGATCACAAAGTTTTATTGATTATGAATAATCATGAAAGCCACCTTTCACTACAGTCACTTGAATATGCAAAAGAGAACCATGTTTGTATGATGACTTTGCCACCACATACTTCACATAAGACACAACCTTTAAATAGATCTGTTTTTGGCCCAATGAAAACATATTTTAATGCAGCTGTCAATAGCTGGATGCTTAGCAATCCAGGAAAAGCCATTACAATTTATGAGATGGACAGTCTCATTCGACAAGCATGGGAAAAATCTTCCACACCAACAAATATTATGTCAGGATTTCGCGTGACCGGAATTTGGCCTTATGATAGACATGTATATGGGGATAATATTTTT